ACCAGGTGGCCGCATTTAACATTCGGCCACCGGGGCAAGACAGAGAGACTACTGAATAGTATAATTAAACTATTAAATACAGAGAGAGATCTATTCTTTCAGACTATAAGATAGTTATACATAGTTTGTATCATCTTTGTTACTAATTATAAAGTTTAAGTTTGATGAAATAATTAAGAAAATTTCACTGAACTCTTTTAAAGTCTGTAAAACAGAGCTTTAAGAAGAATTCTGAGAGTATTTAAATCATCTTTTATTAAAGTAATGAAAATTAAAGCTTCAATTTCTTCTTCTACTATTTAATTTGAAAAGATCTGTATGAACTATGCTCTGAGAGTCATGAAGATAAGCTTAAATTATATAATTTAAAAAAAAGTCTCTTTTTCATTTTCATTAATTAACTTAGAAAATGAACTGAATTGAAATAGATTTCTTAATTAAAATGAGAATAATTCTTCAAAGAAAATGCTCTCTTAACTATACAGACTATATTCACTGATTAAAAATTAATTTTCTTTATTAAATATTGAGAAAATTGATCATGAGAAGATATCTCTCTGAAGAAAAAAGCTGAAATCTTTTATAGACTTATAAATAACTGAATCATCTAAAGATAGAGAGTATAAACAGTATTTAAAGAAGATCTTTATAATTAATATAAAAGACTCTATTCTGGTTTACTCAGATGACTTAAAAAATGAGAGTTTAAACAGATTAGATACAGACATTATTTATACTGAAGATAATATCAATTTCATCTCAGATTTCTGAAATTTAGACTGTGAATCTGAAGTCTTTGATACTGAACTATTTATAAAAGTAAAAGCTTTCAAACTTATTAAGATAAAATCTTATAAAAGAGAAAATAGCTTGAAAGATATATAAATATTTTCTGATAGTTAAGCTACTTTGAAAAGACTTAGAAATAGTCAGATTTATAATAATTAAATAAATCTTAAACTGATTTTAAATTCTGTTATAAAGATTTAAAAGAGAAGAATATTAAAACTAATAATTTATCTACACTGAGTTTCTGCCTATATGAATATTCATGACAATGAATTGACTGATTCAGTGATAAAAAACAGTTCAGAACTAAGCAGATCTATTCAAAAAACAGTGTTCTGATCTTTTATAAAGAGAAAGATAAAAGAATCTTATTTAAATAAGTGAAATGAAAGCTGGCAGAAGCAAAAGAAGAGCATATATTATTCAAGATTTGAGATAAAACTCAAGTGAAAATCTTGTTCAATTAAATGTAGAAAGAAAATATTCTCATCTATAATTCAGCTGAAACTAGAACATGATTATTTCAAATCTTATATACAAAGATTTGATAATAGATTTGATTCAATAGAATGCTTATTCTGCAATACAAATGAAAATCCTGAGTATATTGTAATGCATTGTGCATTATACAATAGTCTCAGAGCCAGATTGAAGAAGAAGTATGATGTAAATCAATTAAATATGAGGTTCTTATTCTCAACTGAGACAGGAATTAAATACTTAATATCCCCGACCCCTGGCACTAGGTCTGAGTTCCATGTGACCCTATTCCACATTTTCATCAATGGGTGTGATAGCGCTTGATCTTTGTTGAGTACTTGGTCTCAATGGTTTCAACCTTATCATCGTCATCGACAAGGCGGTCGCTAGGAAGCATGACAGCGCGATCCAGTTGGGATGGTAAACCGCGATGGCGGCCGCGTAGTATCATAGCGCAGACCACTAATTTGCTAAAGACGCTGAACTGTCCGGATAGAGAGGTGTTGACGCTGGGATGACCTAAACTGAGGCCGACATTTCCACTTGAGAGGAATGTTAGTGGGAGAAACGGGGAATATACGTGGTGTTTTTCTCGAGAAGGGAGAATGATGAGAGAAGGGGGAGGGGTGGGGAATATACTTACTAGCCAGACGTCACTTCGAAAAAGATCGCGAAAACAGAGAATGCCTGTCATAGATTAGCTTGGAGCCGTTTCAAAGGAAGGAGGTCAATATGGGAAATGAGATATTGAGAAAGATTAAGGAGAAATTGAGAACTAGACAGGGGAAAAGCAAAATATATCTCACCGGCTCATTAGGATCCATGATCTTCTTCGATTCAGAAGCGCAGATGCAAAAGACACCAAGGAAAATATACCACAAATCAAACGTCAGTTGGTTCTTTATATGAGCCAAGATGTAAGTTTTGCCGTTATATTCGTCTAAGTCGCGACCCTGTGGGTATATCCCTAGCGCCCGCTGTTCATACGTATTGGACGCCCGTATTGAGAGTGCGATGGGAAGGATGGCGACATACATCATCACTAATATACTGACTTGAACAGCGGGGTTCACCTTCGCCAAGTTGAATGGCGAGGTTCCAGTATGTCGAGTGGATGCGGCTTGGAATAGTGAAGCCAGAATTCGCTTTCCAATTGGTAAATCGTTCACAGCTGGATTGTCGAGGTCCAGAGTAATGATCAGAACTATGTCCACGAAGTTAAGTACAAAAAGACCCGAAAAAAGAGCCCAGGTCGTCCCACTCGGGAAAAGGAGGGTGTAACATCTACGTGGATGCTTTAAAAGGAAATTGAGCGGCTCCTTCAGTGATGATGTTTTCGGGACTATTAATGACATCGTCCAGATAATAAAGCGGAGAAAACAGGGGTAAAATGTGTTTCCGACATAAGCAAGGAAGCTCATGAGTATCATAGGCCATTCCGCGTCCCGAAAGGAGACCATCGAGTCTGGAGTGAGTGTGAATCCAAGATTACTTATCATCGTCTGCGAGGAATAAAACGCCCTGGAATTATGTTAGGGGATCTGTTGAAATTTTGCACTTTCAATTGAGGAAGAGCACTCACCACCACACAGGGGACTGTCCACACTCTCTTAGATACTCCCGATATTTCGGGTCTGAATGTAGGATCCAGCCAAGCAGACATATCGCGCCAAAGAGGTGAAGGCCGAAAAAGTAAGCTTTGTTTTGGTCAGGTCGTTTCCTTAGCCAAGAAGAAGAGCGAGGATGGTTTGAGATTTACCAGTGACAATTTTGAGCAATAGTTTCAGGCTACGATACTCGATCCCGCCCAACTTTTCTCGGTCCTCAGCCGTTAAGTTGCGAAACTGAGAATTGCGCCCAAGGGTTGCATGAGAGGACAACGGTAGATCCAAATGCTGAGAAAGTGAAGGTTGAAGCGGAGGTTGTTTATTACTAGTACTTGGCCTCCCCTCCAGCACGAAGATGGATGAAGCGACCTTCTCAAGAGTGCTAGTACTGGCAATGCGAGAGCTACCCATTATCCGGCGACGAGCTGAGAGCGACCTTCTTCTGGCATTTGAATCGTTCGTCTTGGCGATTTCGTCGTCATCACTGAATATTTCATCGACTTCTACCATTGGTCTCCCTATTTTGACATGTCAGTACGTACTTTCTCATTCTTTCGACATTTCTGACGAATTGTCTTACCTCTGTCACGCTCCTGAGGAGGTGGCACATATAAAGCCTTCGATTTATCATAGCCTCTCACATCAGCTGCAAATGATATGCTCGCACCAGTAGGTTTGGTAGGCTGAGCCTGAGATTCATCTGTCTCGTTCGCATTGCCAGGAGTGCTTGTCCTAGATGGAACCGAGTTAACTTGGAACTGACAACAGCACATGCGATCACACGCGTTTTAACTTACGCAGTCGGAGTAGTAGTATCTGGGTTCGCATTGCTGCTAGTATATTTCCTCACATCTTTAGGGGTTTTGAATGCCTTGGCTTCTACATCGTCTCGATGTTGAACCTGAGAAGGAGCTATTCCCAGTTCAGCATTCCTGACAGGTTTTGACTCGGAAAACACCCAAAGTAACAATGGGTCACATTACCGAATTCGTTCAGCCGTTTTTTGAACCAATGTAAACGCACAAGGACTACTGCAATGTTTACGAATCCGAGGTGGGATATAATGGGAATGACATAAATGAACAGTTGCTGATAGGTTTTCAAATCCTTGACATCGTAGCTAGACATGCACATGCACAGTTAGTACTGTACATCAAACCGGGGCTAAATATTCCCGCTAATGACCAGGACAATGGGAGAAGGAGCCTTGTCTCACGTATTAAGTCCGGATTCTGTGCAACCGGAGGCTCCAAAGAAGTATGCGTCGATTGCTTTCAGATTCCCATAAGGATAAAGAACGATCAACGAGGAAATACTGAGGCTGATAATATAAGCGTCTAATCGCTCATCGACATTAGTCCATAAGTTCAGGTTATTTTCCAGTCCCAGGAAATAGGGTCAGTTAACAAACAATGTATGGTGATGAAGTTCAGCGGCGGTTTCCACATGGTGTCTAGGGATGGACGTTGTTCGTCCTCTCTATGCTTTTGGCTGGAGGAAATCGAAGAGAAGAATGGCTAAGACAACAAGGTACGGACGCAGACACAGGCAACGAGTGAAAGAGAGAGGATCCATCCTGGTAATCAGTGATTTATGTCCGCCATGATGGTTGCCCCCCTTGAGGCAGTGCTCTCATTGTATGAGGGATTTTTGGACGAATCGAAGAAAAGGCTAAAGATGATCAGGGGCTTTTTGAGCCGTATCAAATACACAAGGGGAGAGTCATCATAGAGAGCAGTCGAGACTGTGGAGCGCTCGCCTCCATTGACGACATAAGCTGCCCTGGTGTACAGGTGGTTATACCATTTCAAGCATCGCAGTTGATAGTGGCTGAAGGATGCACTGACTTTGCCCATAGCTTGCTACTCTAGTTTGGCAGCTACGTGGCTGCTAATTTTTCCTGTTTCAATATTAGTGGTTCCTGATCAGCACTGTTTTGAGAAGCATTCCTAAACCCATTACGTGGTGGTTCTCTTCACATGGGGTGTGGTAGACTTGTGTGTGTGGATAGGGGGATAAAATGCGACAGCTCCAGCCCTACTAGTGAGTTTTTGCGGGGTTGAAGTTCTTAGTGGCGGCGAGCAGCAGCAGGATAGTTAGGCGTGGTTGGCGGGCACGGTGCACCATGTGGTGTGGTAGCCACAGGATTCCTACCACCTTGCCCTGGTGTGGCTGAGCCATATATCAATCTTAGAAAATACTCCCCTGAAATGGTCAAAATGGGTCGTGAACTTACAGATTCAGCAGTGCGTGCAATTGCGTTTCCCCAAATACCGAAATCGGAGGATAGCAAAAATAATGTATATATATTAAAATTAGCACAGAGTATGAAGCATAAAAGTAAAATACAAAAAAAGAAAGAGAAAATGTCATTATTGCGCTTGCTCCCTCACCGAAACAAAATGGCCTTCTTGAGACGCCATTGCATATGAAACGAGAAAATGACAAGCTAAACCATCCACTCCACCCAGTCCGCCGAACTCCATATGCGAAGGAGGGAAAAAAAAACAAGCAAAGCCAGTCCCCACATCCCCCATTCTGATTTTGAAATATGGCGCTGCTCTCTTGTAATGGTCCAAATGACCTTAACCCAAGCAGCCTAGTGATGACAAACGGTATCTGAAAAAAGAATGTCCAATTAATTTTCATCTGTGACCCATTTTTTGTCATGGGTTCCACGAATAATTCAATTTCAACGGTGCTCTCAGCCCATCCTCCTTTTCGCTTCTCCACCGGCTTTTCCATTCCCACTCCCGGATGGCTGCTTCGCGGTATGCAACCTGGCATTCACGTGGCAGTTCTGCTAGTATATCAGGGCTGGTGCGAAATATGGGATTGTTCCTGCCAAGCGAAATACTAATTAACCCATTCGAGCCTATATCTTGTACGTCTCCATCTGGGCCAGGGAGACCCAACGATGATTCTGGTGGTGATTCATAGTGTATGTCTTGAATTTCAAAGGTGCGGCTGAAGACGGCAGGGACGGAAGGGAATATTGTGTTTGTGACTTTTGTGGATTCGTCTATTTTAGCCTGTATAGAGAGGTCGTTACGCGGTCGTTCTCTTCCATTGTCAGCTGGGCTTGCTGTTGTGCCATTCGCGACACCAAGGGCAGCTGTTGATGCGCTACTGATGAGCTGTGATCTGTCCGCCCGTGTCGATTCTGGGGGTGGGATGGTTTCCAATCGAACGTGGGTGGGTTGCATGATCTTGGGATACTGCATGGTGTTTGTGTGGATGTCGTATTGACCGTCAAGATTTTCGCGGCGTGCTGCGAGGATAGTAGAATTGAACCGGCTGTGAATGTATTGGTTAGAATCAATTTTGTAGAAGAACGAAATGGATAAATATGGAAGGGCAGCAATTCACCTTGCTTCTCTAGCATGTTCGATCATCCAATTATCCCCCGTTACTAGTACCTTTCGTTTCTTCTGATCTACGCTCTTCCCCATTGGCATGGGTACCGAAGGAGCGCCAGAATGATAAACACTACTTGCTCCATGCCAAGCCACATATCGATTCTTGTCATATGTCTCTCCGGGGCCCGGTAGTCTGTCCTCTGGCACAGCCAGTTCGCCCTCCACGTCGCCTCGTTCCCTGGCAGCTTGCGCCGAATAATCATCAATAACCTTGCGCCCCCCAATAATGATCTTGGCCCCAAACTCGCGGAACACTGATCGCGCCGTAACCACGCCGATCGCGCGCCCTTTGTAAGAATGCGGTATAAGCTCTCTCTCAATCAAATCCCGCTTCGCATCGTCATCAATGATGATCTTAAAAAGAAGCTTATGCTTCTGAAAAAACAGGTAAGAATCGCGAAACCCAATGCAACGCGCCGGCTCCGTCGACAACATGTAGAGTCTCTCCCCTTTATTAAGAATCGTAAACGTCCGCACGCGATATTCGCGACCACCCAGTAGATTGCCCAGCTTATCAACCTTCGTCTCCCCCTCGGGGTCTTCAGGGAGGTCAACCTCGTCGTTGATAACGTCCATCATGTTTCCTTCTTTATCAATTGGGACCTGGGTGACATGGGAGGGGCCTCCTTTGGCTCGTCCCCATCGCCCACCAGCAGACGGGCGACCACGTCCCCTTCGCCGTACGGGAGTGCTAACTTCCGACCGTGCTTCGCCAGTTCCGTCATCTGGGGGTCTTATTTTGGGCGGGCGACCAACTCGACCGCGCTTTCTAGGAATAGCAGATACTCGACCTGGGCGGATGGGTGTATCTGGAGTGGTAGGCGAAGGGCGTTCTGATTCTTCTGCTGGTCGCTCTGAGTTGCATTCCGCCTCCTGTACTTCCGTAACGGGAGTTTCATCCTTCTTCTTAGGGGTATCTCCATCGTCATCGCGAGGACTGGGTGCGTTGGACGGGGCATCTGGCATCTCTTCGTCGACTTGTTGCGGCGCGGCGGCTTCTGTAAAATATTGCAGTTGTGAGATGGCCATCATTCACAATCGATTTTTTTCTGTAAACTTTTGGGAAGGGGGGGGTAACTGACTCAGCGATTGTGCAGCTGCTTGGGCAGCTGCTCTCTGTTTTCGCGCCATAGTGTTGTTGAGCGCAAGGAGGTATGCTCAACTGTTCGATGTTCGTCCAGGGAGCTCTAATTATTTGCGCGACTGGACTGGAATCTCCGTAGCTTGTTCTCGTCTCAATGTTGGTGCTTCGGAGCTACCATTTCGCCGAGATAATAATAATCACGTGATCTATACATACAAGGAGTCAACCTCGCAAAGCCCCTTCTTCTACGCCTCCACACCCCTGGGCAGGCATACGAAATGATATGTGCATCCATAGATCTAGTTGATAAAAGTCATCTACATTTCAACTAAACTAATCCTCAATCCATGGAATGTCGTAAAAGTTAGATCATTCGGTAAAACGGTCCAGCGACGCCGAAATAACCTGTAAATGGCTATTATGATCCGCGGAACAGAAAAATGCAGCCAAGGAGAAGAGTCGATCATTGCTAGAATAAGCTTGGATTTAAGTTACAAATAGGTATATTTAAATAGCAATGACATCTACTTGAGTAGTTTGCGAAGACTCGAGTGCATGCGTGGTGTTTACGGCGCCAAAGGAAGGAGATGAGGGTCAGTACAATCAAGACGTGGACGGAGGGAAGAAAGCTTGAAGGTTCCTCTGCGGAGATCCCTTCCCTATCATTTCCCCCTTTCCCCATTTCCCCCCTCGCCGGCCACATCTTATACCTCCCTCGCAACACCACTGCCTTTACCTTCATAGTTTCACGCCGACAACACCGGTCTTAATGCTCGCATAACGAAAATGTGTAGCTCTCCATCGCCTGACCCTGCTCCACAACCACCGCCTTCCTTTCCTCCATAAGTTCCAATCGCAGCTCCTTCGCATCTTCCATCGATATCGGAAAGTCATCGAGATGAGACGCAACCTCATTGAACAGCTCAGGGGGGAGGCGACCCGTGATATTTTCCCAGGGCACCTGTTCCGCCCACCAATCACGCCTCTGGCACGGGACGTTGGCGGAGGAGATGATGCGGATGTTGGGGTCGACCAGGAACAACGCGAGGATTTTCCTGTGGCCGAGCTTGGACGGATCTTCGAGCTGGAATGGCGAAACGCGGTGCTGGACGATGTTAGGGAATGTTAGGAGTCGGCCTTGTTTGCAAACGACGTTGCCAATCTCCTGTATAGGGGCGTTGCCATTCTGGCAACCGAACACGAGTGGTAGCCATCCGTGTTGGTCTTGCTCGTACCCTATCTCACTAGCGCTGTCCACGTCAGCTAGCTGGCGGAAGGCAAGGCGGCTTTCAGTGATATTGTCGCTGTCATAGTAATATAACGCGGTAGCGCATATGTGTTCATTCTGAAACGGTGTCTCAGCGCCATACATTCATCGATGTAAAAAGAGGAAACGGTTGCTCCGATTCTTGCGGGGTAATACATACTAGTTGACCCTCAACATGCCACGTACCACCATTGTACCTGGGCTTTTCTGGTGTGAGATGAATGTTGGCAAGTTTTACAATAACTTGCAAGCCAGTACTTCCATAATCCCGCTGCAAGTCAACGAGAATATCTTCGTTCGGAGGCAAAAATTTAGCATCGGGCTCAGGGAGTCTAAATTTTTGGCTCTGTTCTTCCCATTCGTCTACGCGGTCGTAATAGTCATCTTCGTCTTCGTCGGATTCCAATTCAGGTCTTGGAATAGCTGCGACGAAGTCGTGGTCAACTTCCTTTTCGCAGAAATGGTATGTTATGCGAGTGTAGGTTTTGGACTTCGCGTACCCTAGCGTTCTATTCCATAACGGAACAGCGAGGGAGATAACTTGTTCGATCACTCCATATAATTCTCGGTGTTCCCTTGGGTGCAAGTTATTTATATAGCTGGTGATCTTGCAGCTATTAAGATTTTGATCCTTGTCGTGTCCGTCCGTTTCTGTTGAATCTGTTGAATCTGTTGTGAACGCGACGTCACAGGGAAGCCACTGGAACTTCTGACTGTAAGGAATCTGTAGTTCACCAGGTCGATCATGCCGGAATTTATGTGCTTTAAGTTCTTCTTTCGACGGAATTTCAAGAACCTCACCAGATCCAGCTCTAGCGATCCCCTCGTGAATTCCTAGAACGCCGTCTGTGATAATCCGAGTCCGACCATAGACCACCGGAAACAGAGAGGGATGCACGAGGTCAAGAACCTGGTTGTTCGATTGGGGATGATAATCCTTCTGGTCGTCTGGGACATCTTCTAAGCGGGCAGCAGCGGATTTGAGCGCATTCCGGAGAGTATCCGGGATTGCGGTGTCCGATTTCACAACACCCGCGTCATAGACCAAAATGTTTCCACTCTTTTCGAAGCCCTTTGATTTGAATTGCAGCTCGTTAATGACCCAATCCATCATTTTTTCTGACACATCCATGTCTTTATGCGCCATTACCTCCTCTCTCCATTTGTTTATGATGTCTGGTGAAAATATCTAGATATGAATGTAAAAAAAAAACCCAGTCAACTAGAAGTCAATCGAGGTTGGGGGAATAACCTCATAACGTGTCTAGCCAGAAATACAGTGCATATACAAATAAAACGGCTGATTAGGAGAATAAGGTGGGGAAGCTTAAAGAGGCGCTGGGGTTAGTTAGGGAGATGTCTAAGCACCTTCTTTTCCCAGCCGGGCTTGTCAGTTATGGTATTCATAATCTGAAGCATTGTGAACTCTCGGATGGGAGTGAAGTGTTGCCTTTTACCAGACATGTCAGTCTCGTGGTCAGATAGGGTGAGCAATAGTCAACTCGGGGTGATATATAAGTACATAGCTTGATATCCTTCCAAGGTCTGTAGGGCTAAGAGGGAGGGGAATATTCCAGGCTCTCCCTGCTTATTTGGCGTATTCGTGACATAACCTTTAGCAAGGGTTGCCCTCCATGATGCTGCGCGATTCAATTCGATTCCAAAGCCGGGAAGCACAAGAGGCGCAGGGTTGGGTTGAGCAGCCATGGTATCTGTTTGGCGGCGTTGGATTTTCTAGCGATCTGACTGTAAAAAGACTGTGGAGAAGTATGAGTGATTGATTCGATATCGAATGAAAGTCTAGAAATTTTAAAACTGGGAGGTCCGTCGCGATAAATATACGGAAAGTAGAATTATGGTGGTGTTGCCTGTGTCTGCGGGGAGCTTGCTTGGTCATGATCTAGGCAGCGAGCCAGGTACAAGATCCATGTTTTCTCGTTGTTTGAAGGCCAATCATGCGCGGGGTTGCCTACCTTGGCGTTAAACGTGGAGAATCAAAATCGTCCACAACTTCAAGCTCACAGCCATCATCAAAGCACGAAAGCTGGAGCTATCCGCATGGCTAGGAAAATCGAGAGCACAGTTATATTATCGTGATTCGTTAGCAAGATGGACCACCTCAAGAGACAGGAGAATTCAAGCTACCATCAACATTATATATGCTTCATCAGAGGTTGAGACACCTTTTAACCCAGAGAAATAAACCTCAATCCTTGACGTGGAGAATCTGAATCATATCATATGCTCATTAATTTTTTCTGCTGTCGTCTCTTTTTTGCTCTGTTCATTGCATTGCAGAGATATTTAATTGAACTGAGTCTCCTTCAAAGTCCAGGAATGTTGAACAAAAGAAAAAAAAAAAAAAAAAAACTGCCGGATTCACTGTATGATCCAAGCCGAGGTCTTCAATTTTAATGCTCGAATGAAACAGTATCAAATCCACATTTGGGGGATTTTTAATTACTCATGACCGAACATTGCAGCTCGCGAAACTTGCATTTGGCGTACGGCGAAACATATGCATAGTATTTGTGTGATTTGTGAAGGGCTGGAAGCCATATCTCCGCTCAACACCAAGAAGCTGCTAGGGAGCCTATACGTCACCCAATACATTTCCTGAAGTTCTGTGCTCCTGGGAATCAAGGATAGCGATTGCAGCTGCTTCTCCACTTATCGAGCTCCAGCAGCCAAATCTGTAGTCAGTGGCAAATCCTCTGTATATCGAAATCTTTCTTGTTAGAGCAGTGAGACTTTAAAATCCCGATTATTTTTTTTATTTTTTTTTTTATTTTTTTTTTTTTTTTGAAAAAGGGACCATCGACATCCGTAGACAAGCAGTGGTTGGAGGTGGCGTTGCTATAATTTGTACAGAAGGCCGAGCTGGCTGGCGGCTGAACCCTGACAGCGCGCGTTGTGGCGGGGCGGAGAATAAGACATTTCTGATCTGTTGCTCAACTACTCCGTCCAGAGCACAGAAGGAGCTGATGATTATTTCATGCAGAATTGGAATTTGGTCTTAGGCGAAAATATGGGCTTTGAAACGGTGCGTCCAGTCACAGAATGAGGGCAGTTGGCCTAATGATCACACATCCAATAAACCAGCGGCGCAATGCCCAGGCAGGGAAGGCGCCGCGAAAGGGGACAACACAATAAGGATTAATATTGGACGGGGGAAGCAGGCAAGAATCGGAAGGCCTTTTCTTGCAAGTTGCTGGCTGTAGGTCCGCTAAACCGTGGACTGGTAGCTAATCGCTCGATGAGACGAATAGTATCTCGAATACTAATCCCAAACTCCGCAGCCGAGCCAGACTGGTGGATGTGATAGTGCGAAGTTTGTTGGTGTTGCCCTGCACCAACCTCTCTGCTCCTCAGCAATTGATGGGGATTCATTCCTAGGAGAGGTGGCCACGAAATGTGATCTCAGGATGGGATGGGATGATATGGCTTTGTTAACTAATAATGGGTTAGCCAGTGCTAAGCCTGTGACAGAGACAAAAAGAAGGAAGACGGATGAGACAGAGAACAGCACTCTCTGGCGAGGAAGCGGAGGACGAGGCGGCGGACGACGACGACGAGGAGGAGGGGGAGGAGGAGGAGGCGAGACGCGGAACAGGACGAGGCTGGTGTTTGTCGCCTCCCCCTCTTTTTGCTTCCGCAGTCAACCTCACCCAGCCCGTAGTAGTCGGCTGTTGGTGGTAAAAGATAAAAGATAAAAAAAGACAAGACAGAACGTTGGGTTGGGGGTTTGGTCAGGATGTCCGTGTTGATGCTCTTGGAGACTTGAATGCAGCTGCTGTCTTGTCTTGGCTCCTCTTCTTCTTCTTGTTCTTCTTCTTCTTCTTCATCCTTCTTCATCCTCTTCCCCGTCTTCGTCTTCATTCTTTATTCGTCTTCATTCTTCTGTTCTCCTCTTTACCCGGTACCGTACCGTACCTCCTCTCCCTTCCCCATGCCCAAGCTTTTAGCTCCAAAGTTACTCTACATGTACATGTAAATACATACATGGCTCCCTCTGTCGCTGGATTCTCTCTGACTCCCTGATCTGATCTGATCTGATCTGATATCGCCGATCTCTGCCCACATGTTGTTGAACTGTCCGGTTCTCTCGAGTTGTAACTACTACGTACTTTTGACATATAGCCTCTTCTATTCAGCCGAAAGCTTTCTTGTTCCCCCTCAACTGTTCCCAGACGACAGCAACAGCCACTACAACAACCACAACAACAACAAGAACAAGAACAACAGCACCCTTCTACAACAAGAGCTCCTCTGCAATACTAGGGTCTTCTGCCCTATCTAGTCTCTTGTTATACTATAGGGTAGCTGAATAAGGTATCATCGACTCTCTAGCATCGTGTAAAAAGAAGGTTCTTTTGGGACAACGGTACCTAGGCACAGAGTACAGTGAGTACAGTACGTTTCTCTCTCTGTTTCTCTTGTCCTGAAATCCTAATCATAATCACCACGCCCTCACCGCTGCCCGCCCCCAACCATTTCCATCCTAACAATTCCTGGTCGGAGTCTGTTCCGCAAACTTTGCTAGCTCCCGGGACAAGGAATTTTTTTTCTTCTTTTATTTTCTATTTTTTTTTCCCCTTCCAATTTTTCCAATTTTTCCAATTTTTCCCCTTTATTGTTTTTAAATCAATTTCTGGTTTTGTTTTTCATGTTAAATATACTACGACTCGTTCATTTTTGTCTCTCTTTTCTTTTTACTTTTGCGGTCATAAAGTTAACATTTTCGAACTCTTATCTTCGAATCTAGGCAGGCCTCCTTCTGCGCGCATTCCAGGCCTCTCTCAAACCTACAATCGACCTCTGTTTCGCATACATCTATCTTTTTTGAGTGGGTACTACTACGGCTGTAGGTGACTGCTTTTAGGAGGAGGGTCAGCCTGTTGAATGAAACATGGCGGGACAACGGGTCCATGCGGATTTACTACGGGAGGCCATGCTGTAAGTCTTAGTGTTTTTTTGCGGAGGTGATGAGTGATTCCTCGCTGGGTATCGAAGTCTTGGAAGATAAACAAAAAAAAAAAAAAAAGAAAAGAAAAGAAAAAACACTTGGCTCCAATGCCCGCGGGCTAGCTCTGGCTCTTCTTTTGGGATCGCATCTCTCCCATCTTGAAACTCCGTCCTTTACAACCTTGCTATCACCCTTTGGCCCGGGCTCAAGAGGCTCCCCACAACATATCCATCCCCTCCACGACGTTCGTCCAACCTATTTTGGGCTCTTGTGGCTGATATTTAGCAGAGAAAACGATGACGATATAGGTTCTGTAACCCCTCCCGATGGTAGCTCTGCTACACCGCAACCAGAGTTTACCGACAAGCGCTTCCCGAGCATAATACCCAGCTATTTTCAGGTTCGTGGTTCCGATTATACTCAAGAATACGATTCTCTTGTACATCCTCAAGTTGATGTGGAGACGAAGGCTTCCTCTGATAATGCCTCGATGTCTGGCTCCATTGTAATGCTGGAGCGAGATCAGTCTTCTGATCCCGTTCCATCCCAATCTGAAAAAGAATCAGAACAGCGAGGAAAAGAGGAGGCACCTTCGGACATCAACTCGTTACCCACTCCTCCCTTATCCTGTTCCTGTTCGATTGTGCAAAAGGAAGCAGAGGAGGTAGAAAATGGCGCACCTGGGGTTGAGAGCGGAATGGGGTCTATCCGCCGCGCAATAAAGAACCTGCTTTCGCAGAATTCCTTAAAGATTGGACGGCATACATCAGAACCTGTTTCTAGCTGTCTCTCAAAGGATCCTGTCCTTGCATCTCACTTTTCTAACCCATCTTTACCTACTTGCCCTACCTTATCACCTTCCACTCACTCTTGCCCGCTTTCCAATTCTTCTGAGGAACTGGCAAAGCTGACTACCAATCAACCGCAAAAGAATACGCCACCTTTAACTCCGCGGGCCATGTCAACAAATGAAACTCCTCAACTAGATAAATCCTCTAGTTCCCCTGCGCATGAGCATCCTGAATCAACAAAGTCGAGCAAGCGAACACCTCAGCAGTCATCGTCTCGTTCTACTGGCATAACGGAAGCTCAAGGTATTCCGGTAGGGTCGCTAAAAGGGAAATTATCTGTCAAAATATCCGAGGGAAGGGGTTTACGACCAAGTTACGACCCTTACGTTGTGTGCGTCTTCGAATTGAATGAGTGCATTTCCAAGGGCGCTCAGGCGGAGGAGGGGGATGACGCTGGGACTACGAAGGGAGGGGAGGATTCGCTATCCTCTGTACCAATCCAACGGTCAAACAGTGATTCCGGGCGCCCAATGGCAATCCCAATGAAAAGTCGACAGAGCAGTAATAACAGTATGTTGGATAATCATGATCGTAAAGAGGCAGGTGTGGTAACGGATCCTCAGTGGAACCATGAAGCCGTTTTGTGCGTTTTGTTCCTGCTCCTCTTTCTAACATTATTTTTTCTGAAAAAAAAAAAGAAAAAAAATGAAAAATGAAAAATGAAAAATGAAAACCCCGGCAACACCAATAAATGCGTCCAAATTGCTGATTAATTTCTAGTGATGTCCTTGGAGACGAATCGGAAATTGAGGTTTCGGTTTATGACAGATCGAATCATGAAGCATTTCTAGGTCATGTAAAGTTGAGCGCCAGTTTCAAGGAAGATAATCAGTCTATAGAGGGTTGGTATCCTCTGGTGGCTCGTGGTCGGGGTGACGGCCATGTGTCTGGGGAAATACACTTGGAAATGAGTTTTCAGAAAACGGATAAGAAGCAGTTTGGGCCAAATGATTTCCAAATCCTCAAACTCATAGGGAAAGGGACGTTTGGGCAAGTATACCAAGTGAGGAAAAAGGACACCCAACGAATCTACGCAATGAAGGTCCTTTCCAAAAAGGTGATCATTCAGAAGAAGGAAGTCGCCCACACGCTTGGTGAAAGGAATATCTTGGTTCGAACGGCCATGACGAATTCTCCGTTTATCGTGGGTCTCAAATTCTCTTTCCAAACGCCCACTGATTTGTACCTTGTCACGGACTATATGTCGGGAGGGGAATTATTTTGGCATCTACAAAAAGAGGGCAGGTTCCAAGAAGCTAGGGCGAAGTTTTACATTGCAGAGTTGATATTGGCATTGCAACATCTACACGAACATGACATCGTTTATCGGGATCTCAAGCCCGAGAACATCCTACTTGATGCAAATGGTCACATTGCGCTTTGTGACTTTGGGCTATCCAAGGCAAACTTGACAAAAAATCAAACAACGAATACGTTTTGTGGCACAACGGAGTATCTTGCTCCTGAAGTTCTCCTGGATGAGCAAGGTTACACGAAGATGGTAGATTTCTGGTCCTTGGGTGTACTCGTCTTCGAAATGTGCTGTGGATGGAGTCCCTTCTACGCAGAGGATACGCAGCAGATGTATAAGAACATCGCCTTCGGGAAAGTGAGGTTTCCTCGTGACGCTCTTAGTACTGAGGGACGCAATTTCGTGAAAGGTCTACTTAATCGAAACCCAAAACACCGACTAGGAGCTACGGACGACGCGAAGGAGCTCATGGCCCATCCATTTTTCCATGATGTCGATTGGGACGCCTTGGCCAAAAAGAATGTGGCTCCTCCATTCAAACCAAAATTGAAGTCAGTGATGGATACGTCGTACTTCGACCCAGAGTTCACAACTGCACTGGACCAGGCCACTTCCCTAAATGCGCGCGCTGCTGCACTTGCCGCTGGCGCCATGCCAGCGTCAACACCCTTATCGCCAGGCATGCAAGCCAATTTCCGGGGTTTTACTTTTGTCAATGAGCGCTCCATGGACCAGCATATGAAGGATGTTTACATGGAGGACGGCACAAAGCCAGATGATACCTGGGTAAAACAAGCGCACCCCCCCGCGAGCGGAAGGGATCATCGAATGAGCGGGATCGTAAAAACCAGCGAACACTCTGAAGGCGGTATTTTCGGCGATGATGACTACCACTTTGATATGTGAACCTCTTGACGAAAGGGAAACGCAAAGAAGAATTAATAATGAATGAGATTCTTTTTTTTTTTCAATGCACATACTACCTTACCTGTCTCTGTCTCTGTACATCATCAGGACAACTTTCATTTCCCTCCGTTTCTTATCCCTTTAATTTAAAGAAAGAGAAAGAAAGAACAAAGAAAGAACAAAGAACGAAAAATCAAAGAGAGCATGTTTTCCTCCCGTTATCTTAGCCCTTTTTAACTTCTTTTTTTTAAAAAAAAAAATTATCTTTTATCATGTTAACGGATTGCATGCGGGGTGAGGTGTTGCTTGTTGCCTTTTTGCAAATGCGATTATTTATTCTCTTGTTTACTGGATGAACCCTGAAACGAAAAAAGATCTCAAACGCGTATACACACACCTGCCTAGTCGACGACGTGCCGCCTGCCCGTTGCGTTTAGCTATCATCTACGTCTCAATTTTTCTTTCCTTTTTTTTTCTATGTGTTATACTCCTTCTCTTTTACTCTTTTGTTTCGAGGGAACATATTCCTCAGTTTCTGTTTATTCGCATCGCGTTACATCATTCGATCGATACATCAATTTCCGTTGTGCGGGAGAAAAGGAGGGGGGAAAACCTTTCCCCCTTGTCTTGCTCACTATATATCTTACCTCCCCGCCCTCCTATGCTCCTTATTTCCCCCCTTTCCTTCTATTGTTTTTACTACTTAAACGATATCACTTTCCATTTTTTCTATTTTTTGCTCAAAACCTTCCTTCCTCCTTGAATCTGCGCGTTTTTTTCGCTCTATATTTTTTAGTCTCCTTTTCATTCAATCCTCAATCCAATCCTACTCTTTATTTTTATTTATATTTCTCTACTTGCATATTATGGGTCATAAAAAGAACATATTGGCATCACATATTCATATTTTATCCTGTGTTCTCGCTCTCTCTCTTCCTCCTCCCCTTTCTTCTCTTCTCATTCCTTCTTAGGATTTATCATATCATTTCACGATATCCTCTAGCGGGATTTTATCTATATCCTCTAGTTATACTGTCAAAAAAAAAGCATTTTTCTCCTCTCTTCAATTTTTTCGAGTGACATAACGGAACGTTGTGAGGATTCATGGGTTTTGATATCCCACGAGAATGTGGCATCGGTATATCAATTCCCCCTTCAACCCCTTCATCTTGATTCACCCAAATTTTAGTTCTCTACTTACATGTTTTTCATAGCACGCCTTTCTGTTCATGATTATTGCTCCAATCCCTAGCCAACACGGAGACGCAGGCGGGGACAGAAAAGTCGTCCAATATTAGTATGTCCGAATCCCCCTCAGCTTTCTCCCCTCTTTTGGCTCTCTCCACAGTATATCCTCTGTATCAGGATTTCTGGCCTTGGTGTAGTGAAGAAATAAGCACGAAGTAATAGTATTCTTTGATTGGAGAAGACGTCGAAAGCTTCGCTGCGAGGAGTGCGAGTATCGTGTCCAAAAAGGAAAGGAAAGAAAGAAAAAAACCTCTCAATGTCCCCTTGATTAAACTTCATTCTGTGTGCCTGTACAGAGTAGTATTTCGTTAACTAATGACATAACTTATGCATATATTTCTTGTCACGTAACAACACCCAGTAATATTCTCCATTAAAAATCCACGCAAAATTCAGTCATTATTATTTACTTTACTCACGAATTGGAACTCGTGAGGGTTTTTCTAGTAAATAGTGCACACTGCCCCTCCGCCCCGTATCTATGTAACTAGCTAGCCATCACCGCCAAATCCGACAGAGCACTCATCGTATGTACTGTACATGTACAGTACATAACTAGCACGCTCGATCTCGTTCTATCAAAAACAGCCCCTCTTCCAACCCCGGCGCAGTTACGCAGTTCCACCGTTACGCAGTGTTTAGTGGTGCGACACCGATGCGCCCAAGCTTTCCCTTCACTTCCCTTTTCCCCTGCGGATGGTAGCATGGAGGTGCCTAGGATCATTGTGCATAGACGGTGTCATAGATGATGACGGTTGTTTAAAACGGAGGCAGGAGTCAAAAATAATAAAGTTTTTGTTCGTAACTTATGTAGGATCGATCCATGTGTCCTGACTCCTGCGGGAATTTTCGGAGAGTCAAGTTACCTAGGCACTTCCCCAGGGTTTCTATACGGAGGCTCCAAGGTATTGTGCTTGTAATATACATGTCATATTATTTTTGTTATCATCACATGTTGACATGTTGCTACCTACCTAGTGGGGCAAGCCATCAGCCATTCGGTGCTTTTGGAATAGTTAACTCACACCAAAGCTACGCAGCAGGAAACTCTTTTAGCCGCAGTGGTCGTGGGAGAGGAAGGTCAAAAAAAAAAAGAAAGAAAACCATGTTTATGTTTATTTATATTAGGTCCCGCCCGGATTCGAACCGGGGTCAGTGGAAAATCGAGAAGAGCATCAAAATCCACCGTGATAACCACTACACTACGGGACCATCATCGCTCAAGATCTCCCACTCTAGCGAACTAACAATTAAAATGTAAATATCGAGTGTATTTATCGGTTTGCGACTTGAAGTGCTGATATCTGTAGATTCGAGGTGCACGACTTGCCACCACTGAGTCCCTTCCTAGATATGGACGCAGCTCCTCCTTCAATTCTCAAGTCTACGGAGATGTAGACGCTATTCCTATTTCTTGTGAAGTAAACGGTCGAGCGCGCGTACGAAGGGAATAGCCTCCTCGGAGAATAAACATGCCGTCGTGCAAAATTCCACCATAGGCTCTGATCAGCAGGAGATTGCCTCCCAAGGCTGAAGGAAATCTTCTCCCGTGTCTGAAGCGGGGCTAATTGCGTAGCAGCCGCATTGTGTTAAAGAAAAATGGAAGGTCGCTGAGGACGACTTCGAGGTTTCAAGGCCCTGCCATCTTCGCTGGACCTAAGTCTGCATAGGGGAGCTGCCACGCAGGATGCAATGCGTCACCCCGGCTACTTGAGCATCATCTCACTGTCGCCGCAGTAGGATACCAAGCGCATGCCGCCCCTGCCCAAAGTACGAGCAACGTGGAGGGGACGGCGGCTATATCCAATAACGTCAGGGCCTGACAACCCTGGGATCTTTCTGCAGGAAAATATGCAATCATTAACAACAATAATGATGACATGACACCATACGGAGTACACGAGGTCTAGCAACAGATTCGGAGGCCGGTGAAATCTAGCGGAAGACAGTAGAGAAAGACGGCATAGGGTGGTTAAGCCACAGGAGACGAGGAGTTTATAACCTCAATAGCGGCTCGTAATGCACGATACGGATGACTCGAAACTCAGATACGCGGCCGTTATTCCCATGTACTACTGAGTACATGTATGAGGGGCTTTCAGCAGAAACCCCGAAGGATCAATCAAGCAACGGAGGACCAATTCGATATTATTGGATCGTTCGCGCAAGAAACGCATGCAATTCACGGGCCAGGCGAGATATTGGCGGATACCAAGCTGAATGGATCAGCATGAACCATTATTATATATTTAATTCTCTCTGTCCTCACTTCTACTTCTTTCACGGCGCAACCGCAATGTGGTTCAGGGGAAAAGGCTTGTTAGTCAGCAGAATTTAACGCTAATCCTGATCCGACCAAGTCCCGAGTCGTAAGTAAACTAGTCCCGATATGTCCTAGATCGGAGCCACGGTTAAGCCTCTCCTCCCCGATCAGACTTCCAACCAAAGCTTCAGACTTAACAGACTCGCACCAGCTTTGGACGCTCTGGGGCTCTGCCCAAACACAAAAGGAGCTGAGAAGGAAAAACGCCCAAAAAGAGGGAAATGAAGTAGCAGCTATGCACTACTCCGTACATCAAACCGTGACGCTTGATGGGGAATCAAAACCCGCGTCGATGTGAGCGTTGATGGCATCATGGCAAGCTCAGCCACGGGCCACGGTCAACATCCTGTCGTTAACCCCTTTTCCCTCTTTCGATCCCACTGGCTATCAGTGGCTGGTGGCTCTTTTAACTTCGCGACCAAAGTGCAGCCAAAGCGCTAATGAGAAGCTATTTCTTCCTTGGCCCTGCAGTGGCCTATCGCGAGCCTGTCCAAATAAATTCGCCGGCTGGTACAGAAACGATCGATGGGCACGCGGACGATCGAATGAGGGTGCCACAAGTCAGTTTGCTGTTCACTGCTGAAGATATTTTTTTCCTAACTATTTCTATTTCCTTATAACTATTTCGGATTCCTTTGGTTGCTTGCTAAACAATATAATTATTTGAGAATGGTAGAAAGAATTTCACTTAAAAGATCGTCCGTTTTGTGGGGTTGATCGTCAAGGCTTGTCAGATTCGTACAGCGCTCGTCACCAGAAACCGAAACTAGAGCTGTTGCTCCTCTTTAGAGTCTACACTGTTAGCTCGTGTCAATTCTGGCGGGCAAGCGTTTGTTTCTCTCCTGATTGTTTATGTTTCCAGTGATCAGTAAACAATCTACTTCCTTTGATGCCTCCCCAATCGCTTCGTCATCGCTCCATCTCCTCCCTTTCCGTGGTGTTGAATGAACGCAATGAACGCCGTTACGAGTAGACCATCCGCTTCCACGGCAATAGCCTACAATGGTGATCCATATCGAGGCGTGGTCCCCGGCCGTCAGGCATCGCCCGCTTTTCCTACCCCTGTGCATCCCAGGAGCCATTCTCCCAGAGCTCCCTCGATGCAATATGCGCGAAATAATAATTATCCCAATACGAACACTCCAAGAATATACTCTCCTACCGCCGCTGCCCCTTCTGGGAGCTTCATTTTCCGCTCGTTCAAGCCCGCTAATGCAGGCTCCAAAGAACAACTACCATTCTCAAGGCCGTTGCCGCAGGAAGTCTATGACTGTATCATCTCACATCTGCAATATTCTCACATGGCTCCCAATAACGAGGGGTGTATAACGTGTTACATGCGAGATTTATATTCTCTAGCATTGACTAGCAGAGCTTGGGAAAAAGCTGTGAGGGGTAAACTGTAAGACGGTCCAGCATATAACGGATCGACAATTACTAAATCGTTTTAGATATAACAAAATATATATCCAAGGCAACGATTCGCCGGCCCAACTCAAGAAATACAAATGGAAAAGAGGAAGTAGATTAAGGCTGTTGCGACGATCGCTGAGATCAAGAAAATTGCTGGCCAATGCAGTGTTTGAACTTAGGGTACCGGATCTGGAGACGGCAACGGGTGGAAATAGCAAACAAAGCATTACCGCGCAGGAATATCGCGACCTTGTGGCATCAGTAGTGATGGTGTGCCCGAACTTGGAACGCTTGGTTGGCCTTTCGCTGCCCTATAATCACGAGTTTGATCGCTTGACGCATGCTCTTTCAACGCGGAAGAAGCTTAAGGAACACGCGTGGATCATTGCGGAGAACCCTGAAATCGGCGAGCGGTTAAAAAACCAGTCTTCCGAACTTTTAGATAATGGACAAGTCTTCCAGTTCCTCAACTACCACGCTTCGTGGTCCAATCTCGAGACACTCATGGTACATTCTTTGGATGGAAGTGGTATGCTGGGACATGGCGTATTCTTACGCATGTTCAACTTCCTGCCATCCCTTCGTCACCTGACAGTTTGTGGTTTCCCTGCAGATGATTTTACCAACCGTACATTATTATTTTTGCCTCCGTTGACATCCCTCCGTCTTGAGAATCTACCAGGATTGACGGAAAATGGACTAGCGCATTATGCAACTCGCCCAGAGGCCCGCGCCCTAGAATCATTGGCGTTAATAGAACTAAATATCAGGTCTCTCCTGATCATTTCTAAGATCTTTGCGTCCTTGAGCAGACTGGAACGCTTCAGCATCTTCCAGACCAAGACTGCACCGACGTTCTCTGATGGAGGGATGGTATTCCAACCATTACTCGCTTCACCAGTCTTAAAGCATCTCCATTGGGACGTTCCATGTCCAGATACGAATGGTTCTCTAACCGATTTCCAATCCTTCCCGCGCCTCTCGTCACTCAGCAAGTTCAACACAGCCAACTCTCATCTGGCCCAGAGTATCTTGAATTCGGGGTTTCCATGTCTGAAATCTCTCCGTGCACCTCATGACATGGATCCCCTTGGGGCATTGCAGGCCGTTTGTCGGCCTACGCGAAACGGCCAGATCATGGTGCCTGCAGACCGCTATTCCCTTCCCCGAAGCTCGCATGGTCCAATTCCGAAGCGGCCCTTAGCACTTCCAAGTGGAAACAACTTGACGTCAGCGCGCATACGTGGCCAAACACTCATCGATATGGCTGCTAAAAGCAGTGAAACGGGCATCAAGATTGTTGTTAGTGACCACTCCGGAGCGCTCAAGCTACCAGACCTACTCGCATTCTCCGACCCGACCCCCGAACCAGGTCCGGATGATAGATATGACATATTAGGCCCGTTGGAAAAAAAAGGGGTTGTTCCTCCACCTAGACGAGATCCACGTGGTATCACGGTGCATGAATTTACTCTTCCATTGCGCGTGGGTCGAGTCTGCACATCATCTGGTACAGGTGCGGGTGCACCCCCCCGCTTTGCCCTGACCCCCGACATCCCCGGCTCAGACGCCGAAGGCGGTCTAATTAGCTGGCGCCATTTCCTCTCCTCAAATCAAACCCTAGCATACTTAGCAGCGGTAGGAGCTGGTGCAGTAGCATCATCGTCGCCTTTACTTATCGACAGAAGAAACACCGGCTCGAGCATGAATGATGACACGGCAACTGTTTCTTCCCCATCTTCATCTCTATTCGGCTCCTGGGGCGGCGGCGGCAGTGCCGGAAGCAGCAATTCTAATCATAGATCGAGTCAACCATTATCTCCGCGTACACCAGCACCCATGTCTCCAACGATGCAGATGGGTAACTCCCAAGCTGCCACTGGGTTCAGTGTCGGCTCTAGCGCTTGGCCGGGGCAGCCGTTTTGGACTGCTAGAGAGACTTGTGATGGGGCCTGGAACCGGGGATATAAACTGGGGAAGGACTGGTGGTCGCATGTCGAACGGGAGAGGGCTCAAACTGGGAGTACCTCGATAGATGTAGTGAGGCAAGAGCAACTATTTTGAAGGAGAGATTATGTTAATGTTTAATGTTTAATTCTCTTTTTAGGAGAAAGCAAATTTTAAGATAGTAGATTAAAATGCCCTGCTTTTACCTAGGAAGGACCATTTCGTCCTGCATTTCGTGCCTATCCTTTATTTCTGTCTTCGATTAACCTTGAATACCGAATTGTTGTCAGGTATCCCTCTGTAACAAAGAGTCACCTATTCAGGAGCGAGGTTCATTCATCCTAGTTATCCATCCTAGTCTCCTAATTTCCCCTATTCACTTTTATCTGACTCTCATCTCAAAAGGCAACTATATAACCCCCCTTATATTTACTCCCTGTTTTACCTTTTCATTTCCTCTTCTCCATTCCTCCCTTCCCCTTCGAAACTAAGCCAGCCTTGATCCTTTGGACTTTCGATATTACGCTCTCTCTCTCTTTTTTTCTTTTTTACTATTTCATCTGCTGTCCTTCGAGAATATGATCCTCCTTCTGCGCCCACCCACGTAAACATGCCCAATAGCTGAGCATATGCTGGGAAAGAGCATATACATATTCATCTCTAGATTACTGGTGAAAATACCAGGTGGCCTTTAATTCTGTTACAGAAATTATCACACTCATCGCAGAACGTAAAAAATATTGAAACCGTTGCTGAAAAAGCTAACACCAGGATTTGATCCAACCCGGTCTAAAAATATGTGGTTTCAATGCTGTATTTATTTTTGCTATTCGCATACACGCATGATACAAATTTAAACGCACCACCGAAAAGAGAGAAAGTGCGCGAGCAGGCTTTTGCTCACAGCAAGGGAATAATGAGAAATTGGAGGTAAAGAGGGGGGGTTAAAATAATTAGACGTAAATCCCGGTGCTAGTATCTTTCTTCTTCGCCATCACCTCCGCAATCGCGTCGACGTAATGTTCATGACCAACCTTATTCATCCCCTTGCGCAATGCAATCATTCCAGCTTCCACACACACAGCCTTCAACTGCGCTCCGCCAAACTCGTCCGTACTCCGCGCCAGTTCGGCCCAGTTGACACCGTCGTCGACAGCCATTTTACGCGAGTGGATACGTAAGATCTGGGCACGCGCTTCTTCATTCGGGAGGGGGAATTCGATCTTGCGATCCAGGCGCCCGGACCGCAAGAGAGCGGGATCAAGTACGTCCACACGATTAGTAGCAGCAAGGACCTTGACGCGGTCGTCGGAGGCGAAGCCGTCCAGTTGGTTGAGGAGTTCAAGCATGGTTCGTTGGACTTCGCGGTCACCGGACTTTTCCGAGTCGAAACGTTTCGTGCCTATGGCGTCAAGTTCGTCGATGAAGATGATCGAGGGGGCCTTCTCCTTGGCCAGAGCAAAGCAGTCACGGACAAGTTTTGCGCCGTCTCCGATGAACATCTGGACGAGCTGGGGACCGGCGAGTTTGAGGAAGGTTGCGTTTGTTTGGGCGGCACAGGCACGGGCAAGAAGAGTTTTGCCGGTACCGGGAGGCCGTACATGAGAGCTCCTGTTCAGGACGAGCCAGTAGTTAGTAAAGAGCATATTGATGATGTGTTCGGCAAAACAAAAAAAATAAAAGATCGTTGATGGATGGCGAACCTTTTGGTGCTTTAATGCCGATCTTCTTAAACCGCTCAGCCTCTTTCATTGGCCATACCACTGCCTCAACAAGCTCCTCAATTTGTTTATCCAAGCCTCCAACATCGGTATACTTCTCTGTCGGCTTCTCGTCAACCTCCATGGCTTTCACCCGGCTGTCATATTCGGCTGGTAGAGTATCCAAAACGAGATATGAATCCTTATTAACACCAATGAGGTCGCCGGGTTTCAGTTTTTCATGGTCGACGAGGCCGATGAGAGGAAGGAAGATAGTTTGACGGGTCGAAGTCTTTATAACAGCAGATTTGCCAACCCGAGTGGCGTCCAGGTCAATATTGGCACCCTCCTCCGCAGCCTCTTTCTCAACGTCAAGATCAAGTAGCTCGACGACATTACCTACAAGATATGGTAGTTGTCTATAAAAGTAATGCAAAGATGATAGGTATTAGTCAAAGGAGCAGCTCGCTTTCGAATTTGAATGCAGGCGTGACAAAGGCAGACATACCGGTTATTCTCAATCTTATCCAAATTATCCTTTATCTTCTCCTGCATCGTAGTCTGCTCATGTGTCAAACGCTGGAACTCGCTCTTCATGATTCGCATGTCATTCTCCAGCAGTTTCCGTCTGTTGATGATATCTCTGGTACTTGATCGCAGGATTTCTTCATCTATTAGGTCTTCTTCCTCTTCCTTCTTCTTGTCCGCTCCTGCATCTTTCATTTCAGCATCGCCATCCTGGTCTTGTTTTTTTCCGTTATCATCGCCCTGGTCCTTCTTCTTGTCCTTGTCTTCGCGCTCGAGGTCATCAAGATCCTCTAGAGTTGACATGATGGCGGTTGGGGTATGGAAAGATCGGTTGCGTAGGGAAAAGTACAAATTTGTATCGGGTATAAAGGCGTTGCTACTGGGAAATTAGAGAACCGGAGAGGGTGTAGAAGATCTAGTCGTTGACAACAGAAGGGAGAGTTGGCTGTATGATGCTCAGTAATGTCCAGAGCTTAGGTTGCACAGGTGAGGTCAAGCTGGTTCCTAATCCGGACTAACTTCCTTGGTACGCAAGCTGCTTGCCTAACTAGGTCATGTGACGTGAAGCCTAGCGGAGCTTGGGGAGGGTGCGAATAGAAGTAATTTATTAACGTATTTCAATATCTTTGGTATTTGTTTCTAGGAAGACTCTATTTAAGAAAGATCCTATATATGTAATTCCGTATTGATCATAACCCACGAACTATATCCTATTCAATACTTTTTCTCGCCCATCCCTAAGCAACCAATATCGTGACATGAAATCGTCATGATTAACTATTAAAATGTATTAGTAGAGTGTCAATCGGTCAAGCATTCCGCTAGCGAAGGAAAGGCCATAAACTAAATCAGGAGACAAAAGAAGGACTCACTGTAGCCACCGCATATCCTCCGCTTTCCCGAAAAAGGAGCTCGTCCATGGAGCATTCTCCAGTTGTCGAATACTGGGTACCGGTTAGCGAATTATCTATGAGTGGAAAGATGTAATATTGAACACATGATATAGCTATAGAAGACTTACTCATTGGGGAGCCAGGATCCAGCTGGAACCAACGTTCCATATCTTTCCGCGTAATAATTTCATTCCATTTCCGTGCTGCGGCGTACCATTTGTTGACTTCCTCTGGAGACCCGTTAACAATGGGCCTCCTGTCCTCATTATTCCATCGCACCTGATACAATTCTCGCGTAACCGGGTGATGGTTAAGGACGGGGAACGGGCGCGCCGGTTGGATGCAGACATGTTCGTTGCCACTGGCATGGCCGCTGACGCCAAATTCCTTTAGTACCCCATATGCCTCTGGATCCTCCTTGTAGAGTGTCTTAGCAGCCTCAAAACCATCAACGAGCAGTGATTCACCACCAGAACCGTTGGTATGTGAGAGCATGTGGAACATCTGGAGGCCTGCCGGATCCGTAAAATAGGTGGTATCCGTATGGCCACCAAGACCTTCGGTTGTGTAGGCCATATCTTTCAGAGAAAGATCGGACGTGAAGTCCCAAAATCCGCCTGCCATGGTTGTTTTTAGTTTCACTTTTTACGCGTGGGAGTTGCTGGGTCGTAGAACATACCATAATGCGTAGGCCTGATGAATGCTATCCGCTTCAGGAGCTGCTCCGTAGCTTCAGGGGTTGCCGGGGATTCCTTGACAAAGGAAAACCCCCATCGATACTTTTAGGGTAGAGCGTTAGTATAAAAACCATTCGTGGGCGAGATAAGGTAGGCAAACAATTTGATCTGTCCATTTTCGAACGCCAGCTTCTGAGGACATCACCTCGTCATACAAGACAGTTGGATAGGTATTTGGGTCATTGGAAACGAATTGTCTCTCAGACCTGGCAAATGTGTTATTATTGAGGTTTCACCAAGAAACAAAAACAAAATGGTAGATGGGCTTCCCAATACCCGAACTTAACAGCGGCTAGTTCAGAGCTACCCTGGCTAAGATGGTGTTTTGATAACCAGTTATAGCTATACGTGCTAGTATGGCCATCATTTGCCCCTAGAAGGGAGGTAAGCATGGGAGAAGCATGTAGGAAATGAATATCATTGCCTTACATTCAATCTCCAAATGATTGTCCAACTTTCTCACCGATGATGGTTGAATATCCGCGGGTATCTAATGGTCCATACGGTTAGGCTGTTGCAGAACAAAATACAAACGTTCTTAACTAGAGGTTAGGTGCCGTTACCGAAAATGTGTCCACAAGCCGCTGTCTCGTGTCAGGGTGAATGCATTTCTTGCACTGGCAGTTGTCTCTGTGTGTTGGTGAGTATATAGTATTACATGCACACCCCTGATGTTACAGTATAGGGCACAAACCTCAACCATAGACTCGGCCTAGATAAATACCGTCCACAACCATCAATATAACGATTTTAACGAAGTGGAGTATGCCGGTTGAATGAAACGATAGCAAATGATCTGATCGGCTTACCACTTGCCCGTAACTCCTCCAGGAAGGTCAACAGAGACAGGAACATATCCCTGCTCGTTCACAGTGCTGGAACTTTTCTCAGTTCCGGCGAGCGCTGCCGGGTGATGGTTGACGGCCAAGGACGAAAACAGCGCAGCAGGCTCTTTGCGAGAACCAACTCGACCAGAAAAGTGAAGAGAATAGGGTCGAGCCTTACTGGCAGACCATGGTGCTAGTTCCTTAAAAGGAGCGTCAGCAGGAAAATTTATAGGTTGGCGGTGCTTTCTGCATTCCAGACCCTTTATTGGCCAGGTACGGCAGCCTATCCAGGGCGTATCGGACGGATACAAACATGTAGGAAACGCATTCATGTGCACTTACTGGTTGTAGTCTCCCTGCTTGATATACAAAGCTACTGCCCGGAGCCCTTGATTTCCATTATTGTTAGCTTTCACTTCATTAGCATCTACTGCAGGGAAGAGGCTAAAAATAGATCCCACCTTTCGCGTACAACCTGAGCGGCTCTTTTGACAGATGCGAAAGGTGAAGATTTCATGGCTGATATCGTGTTACCAATGATTGCTTCCGTATGTAATAGATGGTGTATCTCACTCATTATTTGTTGAAGAGTGGTAACAGCAGATGGTGGTTTGCTTTGGGACACATTGGTTTTCGTTTTTGCCGAGGCTGGAAGTATTTAGTTCTCTTTGTGCTGTCAACTCCACATGGCGGGGAAAACTTTCAGAACAATATTAGGGGCATTGAAGCTGAAATATTTGTTTTATACAATTGATGGATACTTCAGGTACAATACATACATACACGTAGTACACATGTATTGTACTGTACTGCACAGAAACATTCACTAAGTCATGTGCTCAGAGTGACATCTGTGAAAAAATTAAAATTCAATTTCTCATTCATTATACATTTTTAAAATTTGTAAACTATTTTAGATTATAGCTATTAGCTATAGAGAAGAAGAATAGAAATATATATTTAATATTTTAAAAAACATGATATTTAATATAAATGTTTAAGTTACTGTTAAAAATAATTATATTTCATTCTCTTGTTATAAGTGTAAATCTACTTTGAAATGATACTTCATATATAAGAAATAGAGGAAAGGAAAAAATATGATTTCTCTAGATCTCAAGATAATATAGAAATAATAAATAGATAAAGTTAAGTTACTATTCTCACTCATGATTGAGATATAGAGCAAATCATTCCTGTGTTGCTAACAAACTGAAACTGTTCTTTCTCAGACACTGTAACTTACAGCAGATTTGTATTTTTGATCTATTTGGGTTTAGCTGTGAGAGTGACTAATTATTAAATGTTAAAACTGTGGGAGCCCTAGGCTTCCTAGTACAGACTAGCGCCCCGCACCAAGCATATAGCCCACACTAGATAGCAACCAATACAACCACTCAGACGTCCAACAGGTTATGGCCCGGATTGCTTGTTTTGTTTTTAATAACCTTCCACTACTACTACTTTTTCATTTATCTGAGGTATAAAACATCTCCTGAGCTGCATCGCTGAACTGCAGAAGGGTCCTGATGAGAGGCCAAGGGAGCTTCGATCGCGGGGAAAACGAAAAGATTCAACAAGGGGTCCCGACGAAGGGCAAAGGAAGCCCTGATCACGGGAAAAGGAGTGGCATCTCCTATATCACTGCTGGATCCTGATGAGAGGCCAAGGGAGCTTTGATCGCGGGGAAAACAAAAGATTCAACAAGGGGTCCCGACGAAGGGCAAAGGAAGCCCTGATCACGGGAAAAGGAGTGGCATCTCCTATATCACTGCTGGATCCTGATGAGAGGCCAAGGGAGCTTTGATCGCGGGGAAAACAAAAGATTCAAAAAGGAATCCTGACGAGGAGCCAAGGGAGCTTTGATCGCGGGGGAAAAGATTGAAAACAACTGATTCAAGGGGGGGTACGACTCCAAGAACACAAGCAATATGAACAACAATGAGAACGAGAGCGAATATGGGCAAGAAACGCCTACCCCTGGGCCTAGGGGTCAACTAGGTCAAATGAATGAATTGATGATGAGAATGATGGCATACATGAAGAAACAGGATAGATTGATGGAAATACTCATCCAAAAGTTGGGTGGAAACTCTCATTCTCTGTCAACACAACTGTCATTACACCTAGCTGAATTGATATGACGGATACAACAGATATGAAAGGATATGAATGACATGATAGATATGATATGACGGATGAATACGATTGACACGATGGATATGAATAATGAGGGATACAACGGATATGACAAATGATACGATGGAAATAATGATACAAGGGATACAAGGGATTTTATGGATTTGAGCATGACTTTGCGGTATATTCATGTATCAGGCCTAGTCCTGATAAGGAAACTAGGTGCTGCTTTTTGGAATTAATTTTTATTGCGGATTTGAATGATTTGAGAAGGATAGAAGGATATAAGCCAGTACGGTAGCTAGTCCGAGGGGGTGTGGGAGCCCTAGGCTTCCTAGTACGGACTAGCGCCCCGCGCCAAGCATATAGCCCACACTAGATAGCAACCAATTGCTGAGATAAATCGTTGCCCGTCTGGCTGAATCATGGATAGACACCCAACCAATAGCTTAATCAAAATAATACATAGGGACAGCAGGGAGTTTCCTGATATATCTGACAAACAGCCGGCCTTTGAGTCACATGCTAAACCTCATAGCTTACTCTTCCCACCAACAACATTGACCAGCGCCCGGCCATTGCTCAATACAACCTTGCCCTTATCATTCTTGACCACAAACACAACTTCTTCAAATCCACCTTCAAGCTTCCCGGTCCTCCAAATCTCAGTGATCAGCTTAACACCGGGGATCACTGGGGACGCAAATCGGGCCTGGAACTCTTTGAGATTCTTAGGGTCGCTACCGCCCAATGTCTTCAGGATAGCGTGCGCTGCCATGTTCCAGCTGAAAAGGCCGTGGATAATGACACCGCCGAAACCCATTTTCTGTCCCGGCTCCGGTGTGGCGTGCAAAGGGTTATAGTCTCCATTCAGTCTATGCATTTAAAAAAAATAAAAATCGCAGAGTTAGGAATTGTCACGATACAGGCGATCTCCTTCCCAGGAGAGAAATATCAAGAGGTAATTATTGGACGTAGCTTACCGGTAGAGCAACGCTGTATTGTCATCTGTCTGATATTCATAGACGACATCTGGCTTCTTTCCCTGTGGAGGGGGATAGTTCACCGTAGACGGACCTGTACCAGTGCCAAAGACACGAATTATTAGCCATCAGCTCACGAGTTGTACATATTCATGCAACCTCAAGTCCCTTTTAACATCCCTCCGGCCTCCGGCGCGTTACCAAAGTCAAAGAGGCGGGGGATTTAATTTATTCACCTTTTGGCCCACCCCAATTCCCCTGTCCAACGAAAAACCCACTCCCAACAGCCTTGGTATAGATCTCCCCGGTCTCTTTATCGACAATTTGCTGCTCCGTCTCGACAACGGAGCCTGCCTTGCCCTTATCATAGACACCAACAACCGAGCTTCGCAGTTCAAACTTGCGCCCCTCGCTGGAGACAGGTAGGGGCTTGAGGAAAGTCATTTTGCGCTGTCCGTCGACGACGCGGCGGGTGTCGAAGGTGGGCACGCCGGGGATGACATTGCCGGTTTTTTGGGCGTAGAAGTCGGTTACCTCTTGGTTTGTGAGTTTGAAAGCTGTAGTTAATTATTATATTAGTTATTCATTTTTCAAAGTCCGCTGGGAGCGCCCTTGCCGCTTTTTTTCTTTTCTTTTCTTTTTTTTTTTTGGGTGGCATTGAGACATACGGAGGATAATAGGGTATGTTGGGAACACGGTAAAGTTTGGATGTAGCTCCTATTGGAAAGAGAGATGTTAGTAACAAACCAGGGCAAACCCTCTTCATCTCTTGTTTCTTTCTTCCGACAAGAATTATATGGATAGACACAAACATACGTAGAGGAAATGAAGTTCGTCCGCTGTCGCTCCAATACTATTTGCGAAGAGCAGGACATCTCTCTTCGTCCAGCTCACATCCTGGCTCGGGAACTTATGGCCTGCTCCGGGTCCGCTCATTATGATGTTTAGGATATGAATATTTGCTCGTAATAATATGAAAAGTGGGCGACTAATAATCAATAATAGGCGGTGGATTTGCGATTTATAATAATAGTATTACAACCAAAAGGAAGAGAATCTACGAGGTCTCTATTCAGGCCTTTTATTAAATAGGTAATGTTGAGCTCTTCGGCAAGCCGTGGCTTAGAAATTATGCCGAGGTTGTGGAGAGGTGCGTCTCGACATCGGTTACTTTTACTGCCTCACGAACCATCAAAAAATGACAAAGTAAAAAGGAAGAAGATTCCCGACAGGGACATCTACAAGACCAAAGTTGCTGAATGAAGTAGTGAGATTAAGCATCAACTCGGGGTATCTCTAACAAATCGAGGAGCTTTAGAAATCGTATCCTATATATATCATTTGTTCCATATAATCGGACGCCACATTATGCCATTTCCCCCAAAACGCCTGCAGCCCTTTTTCTCTGGTTCTTTCTATCTTTCCTGTTTCTTATAAAAGTTTACCTCTCTTGGCAATCTCGCCAGATCATAGAGACACGCATGCAACGTGGCGTTACGCTGTCTGCTGCAATCCATTCCATATTCAGGGCTGAGCGGATAATAGAGCAAGGAAAGAGGAAGAGGAAAAGCGGGAAAAGTTTCAGAAAAATTAAACGAAAAAAAAGAAAACAACGCAAGATGATATGCAGAGCATAAATTCTTAGAATGGCAGAAACTTAGGTTGTGAGTCTTCGTGGTAAGTACGTCGTATGTTTAACACCTGAGACCAGAATTAGTATCCTGATTGGCTCATAATTTCTGTTTGATAGATGGGGGCGAAAGAGAAATGTGGGATGCGATACATTTTATACTCACAGCTGCCCTGGGCAGCACGTGTCTCATCCTCCGTCTCAAAAGTGTACGAGATCTTAATATCGAGATCCCGCTTGTTTTTCTCGTTAGGTTTATTCTCTAGGAATCCTGCAACTGTTTCATTTTCCTCAATGGTGAGGACTTCGCGAATGTAGAACACGGTTTGCTTCCAGTGGGTGTACTTCGCATGAGGTCCGGTGGAGAAGCGAATCTTTTTGTGGCAAGCGGTGAAATCGATATCGAACCAGGCAATGATGGCGTGGATGAAATCGTTGCGTTTTGCGGTGAGTCTGAAGGGAACAGTGAATGCAAGATCGGCTGTGGTGACTGTGTATAGATCAATGGTGAGGACCGGGCAGGGATCGGTGACAAGAGCCTTTAGCTCGACAGTGTCCACAAGAGGCTCAGTCAGCGCCACATCTTTCATAGGTGAGTAATTGAATCCCCAGACATTGTCCCAAACTACAAGAAAATTAGCAATTGACCTGTGATGTGCATGAAAGGGGAGGGGGGTAGGAACTAGGGACTCAGTGCAGGGCTTTTGAGGGGAAAACGTACATCCGATTTTATCGTCCTTGTATTCGCCATCCTCAATTCCGGCGAGGTAGACAGTAGCTTTGTCCGGGAAAATCTTGCCATCGGGGACAAGATAGTTGTCACGAGCATAGAGAACGGTGTCAAGCATGGACTCGTACAGAAGGAAATATCCCATCCATTCGGATATAATGATATCAACTTTTGGGTAGGGAAGTTGCACTTCTTCCATCTTGCCCTGAAGAAGGGTAATCTTGTCTGCCATGCCATTTACTGCCACGATCTGGCGGGCCTTTTCAATGATGGAAGACATGTCCACGCCGATAACGTGTTTGGCTCCTGCACGAACGGCAAACCTAGGGGAAAGAGGACGTATTAGAATTCATTTTCTGAACGGTATTGCGTTGGACGGTTTTTTTTCTTTTTTCTTTTTTCTTTTCTTTTCCTTTCTTTTCTTTTCTTTTCTTTTCTTTTTTTTTTTTTAAACAACATACATGCTGAGAATCCCGGTTCCGCATCCGACATCAAGCACTACCTTATCTTTAAAAAGATGACGGTTTTGGTAAATGGCATCTCTGTATGATCGTGTGCGAACCTCGTCTTTCTATATATAAGGAAATACAAGATTAGTATCTGTTCCCATTTCGTTGTCTTTAAAAAACCAATAGCAGCACACATATTTATTTATTGGAGCATAATATCACTTACAAGCATCTCCTCGTGAATACCTATCCCGTTGGTTTTGTTTTGTCAGCTGTGCATTCGAGAAGAGGGGTGATGCAGACAGTTAGGTCAATTTACCATGGTGGTCGTAACTAGCATAGAATAGATTAGATTAACGCTCGTGAGAAATGAATTCAGGACTAGGAATATATATACCTCGTAAAATAGCGAACCTCTGCGTGGTCCATGCCAGCCATTCTGTCCGCGCTGGACGATGGCTGAGGGGTTGAGGATGTGATGTCCATTTGATTCGAAGCTCCGTTCATGATATACTGTAGGATAGAGGGTAGTTTAAAAGAAAAAAAATGCTCCAAAGGTAAAAAAAAAGAAGCTTAAGGAGGCGAAGTATAAGGAAGTCAGGCAGAGGGAGCCTGATAGAAGTCGAGGCAAGAAAACTCGCTAGATGCCCAAGGAATAAATACGGGAGACTGCCAAGGTTTTTGGATTTTCAGAAGAGGCTCACTGCGATCTCTAGACTAGAACAGACTAGCGTGATGAATGAGGCTTGGCAAACGGGTCTGATTCGTCAGAGAGGACAGGGATTAGGTTTAGGGTTAGATCCGGATAGCCCTATGCCCTGGGTACATGTACAAAGCTCTTTATGGTCAAAATGACTGGTGGTCATTCCCATCTGCTGGGCAATTAGCTCAGTTGGTAGAGCGTTCGCTTTGCACTTAGACCCGCATGCGAAAGGTCGTGATTTCGATTATCACATTGTCCATACCACGAAACTTTTTTTTCTTATCTTTTTATTTTCTTCCCTTCGGATTCTCAAAAGCTGGTGAGTTTGAATAGTATTTTATGGTCTTAATTTAATGCAGCTCGTCGTGCCTGTCTTCCCTTCCGGCTGACACATTTGGCTCCAGGGACATCGCCCGCCAATCTGCCCCAACTGGCCGCCTATGGAGCTTGCCTCATTACCCACCCGCGACACAGGCAGTACGTGTAACAAACATGGCTTCCACGATGAGTGGGAGGCCATTGTACTGGCGATTCCTTGTATTTACAATTTTGGCATTTTTAATTAGCCGGTCTACCGCGTCTTTGGGGGATATGCTCCCAGATTTCAAGGAATGCGTAATGGTAAGCCGTTTTCCATCCAGGAGACACACCTGAAACGGGAATTGGACCATAAACAATTGACGGTTGATGCGCGAAGTAGATATGCAAGACTGAAAATTGCGGTAGTGGAAAGACATCTATACGTAAGAATAGGCTCCTTTTCGCGCACCTTAACAATCTTCATTCTCTGTGCCAACCCTGACTTTGGTGTTTTCAAGCCCTCCACCTCCGCCTCTTACTCTGGGACTGTCCAGCGGAATGTGACTACACATGTCAACACATCATTACGGACCGACGCGTTAACCGCGACCCTCCGATGCTGGACCCCGTTGTCCAATTCCACGGAAAATGGCCCTTCTACCGAACACTAGGCATGCAGGAAGCTTTCTCCGTTATCTTCTCCTTCATGAATCTCCTCGCCCATCACCATGGTATGTCGCGGGTTCGAGAGTCGATACCACCATCGTATCCGTTGCGCAGGTTCTACCTCGCCTTTGGATACTTCGGCTTGGCCAGCTGGGTATTCAGCATGGTTTTCCATACCCGTGATCTGCCCCTGACTGAAAAGCTCGATTACTACGGTGCGGGTGCAAGTGTGATGTATGGGTTATATCTGTCTGTTGTTCGAATACTCCGCCTCGACCAGACACGTCCCCGTTACAAGCCGACGCTGCTCCGGTACTGGACGCTCATCTGTACGGGATTGTACATTGCGCATGTCTCCTACCTGAGCTTCTGGTCGTGGAATTATACGTATAACATGGCGGCAAATGTGGCAGTGGGGATTGTGCAGAATTTCCTGTGGACGTGGTTTAGTATCTCGCGATACCGGAAATACATGAAATCGTGGACGGCATGGCCAGGTATGATAGTTGCGTGGATTATCGTAGCTATGAGTCTGGAGCTGTTGGACTTTCCGCCTTTGTATGGACTTATCGACGCGCATAGTCTGTGGCATTTAGGGACTGTAGTGCCTACTGCTTGGTGGTATTCGTAAGTTTGTCAACATCCTCTTTTTAGTACTTGGCAAGTTTGTATTGCGTTCCCTAATCAGTTGATTATTTTAAAACCTAGGTTCCTTGTCAGGGATGCTCAGGATGACATTGCTGGAGAGCGGGTTAAAGCTTGAATTATATCCATATTCAACTTCTGATGTAAGCTCTATTTGGGTTAGGAAATATTACTGGAGGCATATAGATTTTTATATTGGGGGATATATGAATATATTTTCAGCGGACTCTAGTTATTACATTAGATATATCATTCTTTTGGAAGTTCAATTGGACTGGATTTCGACCTTTTACTTTTATACTTACCCCTCAAGAAGGCTCCCAAGGTTGCTGCACAGTTTTATCTCCTAAGGTCTCACATCCTGGCGCACAGCCAAACAAAGCAAACTGCGTCCTTGGCGCCAACGCAACATCTGACATCGGTCTTGGCAGCCCAAGCGTTCCTCAGCAGCCGTATCGCACCAACCCAACGACTCACGAGCCCACTAGTAACTCTCACTAAGTCATGCCCGCATCCCTCCTCCCCTCCCTTGCTGGCCCTATAAAGCCCCTCGTTCCCACCCACCAGCCGCCAGCTACGGTGGCCTAGCATATCACTCTTTATCCTTCAGTCACCATGGCGTCTTCAATGGTCAAACAAGCAATTGTCGATGCTGCTGCTGCGTACACCAAGCCTGACGGCAAGGTGTTCGAGTATGGCACAGCTGGGGTAAGTTGCCGGTTTCAGCCTTGCAGCAGCTTCTATGGAGATGGTATTCTGACTGGAAATTCCCCTTATAGTTCCGGATGAAAGCGTAAGAGCCCCCGATGGTCTATAATTGTTCACTTTCGAGTCACTTTCGACTCACTTTTGACTCTCCCTAATTTTAAATTTTTAAACTTCCTTTCGTATTTTCTATCTCTCCGCAGCGCAGATGGGCAAGTTAGAACGCTTCTCACATTACTGTGACGATTCAGGGATATCCTCAACACCGTTGTTTTCGCCGTCGGGCTTTTAGCTGGACTTCGCTCAAGAAAATTGAATGGCCAATATATTGGCGTTATGATCACCGCTAGTCACAACCCCGCGGAGGACAATGGCATCAAACTTGTAGATCCAATGGTACGTCGTCGTTCATCTCATGTTTTAAAGGCGGTCCAGAAATACTGACAAATTCATGTTTTCAGGGCGAGATGCTGGAGGTAGGTGTTGTACCCAATTACGTTTCCTTGTAGAGCTGTCGGCTTATTCATTATTTATCCACTGCTTTTTAGGCTGATTGGGAAAAATACGCAACCCGATTGGCAAATTCACCCCTCGAGACTTTGGGAGACGTGTACAACAGCCTTATCAGCGAGATTGAAATTAAGATGGAGAACCCTGCTCGCGTGGTCTTCGCCCGGGATACTCGTGCTTCAGGCTCCCGCCTCGTGGGGGTGATGTCTGCTGCTCTTAGAGCATCCGAAGTCGAGTTTGAAGATTTCAAATATCTGACCACTCCCCAGCTTCATTATATTGTCCGCTGCAAGAATACCTTGGGGACGCCCTATGAATATGGCGAACCTACCGAGCAGGGATATTACCAGAAACTCAGCGGGGCATTCAAAAAAGTGATGAAGGGACGAACCATTAACGGGCCAGTGACTGTTGACTGCGCTAATGGCGTTGGAGGCCCTAAACTTAGAGAGCTGATGAAGTATTTGCCCAATGGTCAGCAAGGCGGGGTGGATATCAATATTGTTAACGACAATGTGATCAATCCTGATAGCCTGAATCATGAGGTAAAATATACATCCCAAATCCCGCCTTTTCGTTTGTACTTTTGGCTGACGATGAGAATTCATGCAGTGCGGCGCAGATTATGTGAAAACAAAACAACGTGCCCCACCATCTTCTAAAGCATCAATCCATGACCGCTGCGCTTCATTTGATGGTGACGCAGATCGACTAGTTTACTATTATCTTGACACTGGCAATGTTTTCAAACTCCTTGACGGTGACCGAATCGCAACACTCGCAGCTTCCTTTATTGGAGACTTAACAAAGAGTGCCGGAATAGGACATAAACTCAAGATTGGCGTTGTTCAAACGGCCTATGCAAACGGCTCGAGTACAGACTATATAGAGAAAGTCCTCAAACTACCAGTCATTTGCACCCCAACCGGCGTAAAGCATCTCCACCATGCCGCGTTGAGGTTTGACGTGGGAGTCTACTTTGAAGCCAACGGACACGGAACCGTAACTTTCTCAGAACATGCGCTCAAGACCATCAGATCCGCTGAACCCCAGTCCCCGGCACAACAGTACGCTCTGGAAAGCCTTATTGGTCTAACCGACTTGATAAACCAAGCAGTCGGCGATGCGTTAGCGGACTTACTCCTTGTCGAAGTGATCCTTGCCCACAAAAGTTGGGGCCTTAAGGAATGGATATCAACATACACTGACCTCCCATCACGCCTCGTTCGCATTGAGGTGGCTAATCGGTCAATATTCAAAACCGTCGATGCGGAGCGGAAGCTTGAATCGCCAGCTGGCCTGCAAGCGCGGATCGACGCTCTCCAATCACGATATAACAGGGGTCGGAGTTTTGCCCGTGCTAGTGGAACCGAGGATGCAGTTCGAGTGTATGCTGAAGCTGCGACTCGGTCTGAGGCTGACGATCTGGCTACCCGGGTCGCAAGCTCTGTGCAAGATGCTGGGAAGATAGTCTAAACCCCACAATAGAAAAAGAGGGATTAAAAAGACTATTTGTAAAGGAGACAAAAACCTTCGCAAAAGCCAAAATCGCATCTAACCTTACACATAGACAGTTGAGCGATACCACACTTTGTTCCGTACTTCGAATGTGTGTTACTGCCAATTAGAGTCGACATGAGGAAATCGAGAGAAATGCTGGAAAAATTACCCAGCACATTCTTGGATGTCTTGGGGCCTGGATTGAATATTTATGGCGACTGTTCTTTTCGTTTCTTTTCTTTTTTCTTCTGTATCTTAAAATCAGACTCCTAATCTACAGCTACCCCTGACGAATTGATTATTTTAATTAGGTTTAATTCAAACGCTCTGGATTCGATGAATCCATGTCTCCTATTCAGACATTTTTTCCCCCATACTGTTGTCGAGCTATTTACTTACGGGAGATAAAACATTTGACAAAGGATTCAAGACAAAAATTGAGAACGAAAATTGAAGATGGAATAAACCAGACGGAGTCTCAGGCATCAATTTTACCGAGCCATACTGCGCCTGTGGCCAGTCAAGGTTGATTTTTCGTCTAGGTCACCTGCGAATCGAAATTTTAAGCATTACTCCACCAAAAAGATATCGAACACAAGGAAAGCTACACAATGACCTAGCAATAACAAGGAATAGAGACTGTATAGGCATCACATAGGATATTCATTTTCATTATAATGATTACCATAAATCTAAATCTCACACTCCCTACCCTTCCTCGCGATCCATTTCATCCCTTCCTCTCTTGGCGCCCTTCGCCGGCCTTCTTCCCCTCAATGTAGCACCCCTCGACCCCCTCTTCTCATGTAAATCCTTCATCTCCGTAATCGCATGTCGCTGCGCCTCGCCCACCCTATCACTCAGCACCATCACCTCCTCTTTCTCAACTTTATACTCCTCCAATTTCTTGCCCAGCGCATTTTCAATCCGCAGCCACACCTCAAGGTCGTACTGCGTCACAATGTTAAAGGCATGTCCGCTCTTGCCCGCTCGCGCGGTCCGGCCTACGCGATGGATATACGTCTTGCTGTCCGGGGGTAGGTCGAAGTTGAGAACCACGTCGACGGAGGGGATGTCAAGGCCGCGCGCGGCGACGTCCGTGGCGACAAGGATATCGCGACTGCGCGAGCGGAATTTGCTAAGAGCGCCTAGGCGGGAGGACTGGGAGAGCTGGCCGTGGAGCGGGATGGCGCCGAAGCCGAGAGCGCGGAGTAGGATAGCGAGGCGTTGGGTTTCATTGACGGTCCGTGTGAAGACGATGGCGGATTGGCCGGCGTATTCGTTGAGAGATAGACGAGGTAGAGTCTTTATATTTGTGGGAATGAAGGAGGGTAACTTTGGGAGCAGGGTGGAGACGGTTTTGTTATTTTGCTGCTGGAGATGGAGACGCGGAGCCCACTGGAGAGGGAGGCGCGCTGGAGGGATTCGACTTTTGAGCTCATGGTTGCGGAGAAGAGGTATGTGCGGCGTTCGCGAGGGAGTACTTTGAGGATTTTGTCGAGTATAGGGCCGAAGTCGAGGTCGAGGAGCCTGTCGGCTTCGTCCATCACGAGATATTTGAGGTTGCGGAGGGAGAAGCCCTTAGTGTTTTCGAGGTGGTCAAGGAGACGGCCTGGTGTCGCGACGACGATGTGAGGTTTCTTCCCCAGCGCGATTGCTTGAGGAACCATGTCCATTCCGCCAACTATGACAGCGCACCGGACCGAGATCAGAGAGCCAAGCGCCTCGAAGGCTCCTGATATTTGGTAGGCTAGTTCTCGTGTGGGTGCCAGTATGAGACCGAATAGGGATTGTGGCTTCTCCATTAGAGCTATTGTACGGGGGAGGTAATTAGCCAGAGTTCTGTCACTGTGAGGGCGCGCGTAGCTCATTGAGCTGTTCTCTTTTATTTACCTTGTAGAATTGGCAAGGCAAATGCGGCCGTCTTCCCGCTTCCCGTCTCCGCCAGGCCGATAAGATCCCGCCCCTGGAGGGCGAGCGGGATTGACTCTGCTTGGATGGGAGTAGGTGATTTGTAGCCTAAAGTTTCACATGCTTCACATAATGAATCAATAATGCCTAGATCTTTGAAAGACTTCGTCACAGCCTCATCTTGCTGTTCCTGTGGGATTTTGTCATCTTGTTCATGGACTCCTGATGCTTGCGATTGTTGCGAGGTTGCTGAACTGGAGGATTCGGGGTCGCTCTCAGTGGGATCTGGCCGAGCTGCGTGAGCCAGCTTCCGCTTCTTCAAAGCCGACATTTTGGACAATAAATAATAATCCCTAGATAAATACGGATATATGTAACTAGAGCCAATCCTCGCTGGTGGTTATTAAAAAAGCCGGTTTTCTTGATTCTCCGCACAAAATATTTTTTGATATCCCGCAAAATCATTGTTCCGGACTAGCAGAATTTCGAAAAGAAATATCTTTCGAAACACAAACAAACTGGGCTCTAGTCACATTACATTAAAGAACGAGTTTTAGTCATGGCGAAAAGACGCATGAAGAAGCGGACTCACCTCCGCGCTGCAAATGCAAGCAATGTCACTCCTAGAAGTGCCTCTGCGTCGATGCAAAAGACCCCAAGAAGTATGGTGATTCGGGTCGGTGCTGGGGAGATCGGACCGAGTGTTAGCCAGCTGGTGAAAGATGTGCGGGCCATGATGGAGCCAGATACAGCCAGTCGACTGAAGGTAAGAGCAGTTTTTTAAATTATCAGATATGAATACATATGTGGTTTTTATTCCTGCTAACATGCTCTATTCGCCGCAATGGTAGGAACGGAAATCGAACAAACTGAAGGACTACACTGTCATGACAGGGCCTCTGGGGGTAACACATCTACTTTTATTCTCAAGGTCCAGTACAGGAAATACAAACTTTCGCCTTGCCCTTGCTCCCCGAGGACCTACCCTTCACTTCAGAGTTGAAAATTATTCGCTGTGCAAAGACGTGATCAAGGCGTTAAAACATCCAAAGGGATCGGACAAGCTCCATTTAACTCCTCCATTACTAGTAATGAATAACTTCATGTCTTCGAAAACAGACGATGAAAATCCCTCCTCGAAGGCTGTCCCTAAACACCTCGAATCTCTTACGACAACTGTTTTCCAGTCTCTCTTCCCCCCAATCTCTCCCCAAACCACCCCATTATCCTCAATACGTCGCATCATGTTGTTAAATAGAGAGCTGTCCCCAGAGCAAACAGAGGACGGCTCGTATATCATAAATCTCCGCCATTATGCCATCACCACCAAGAGGACTGGCATACCGAAACGGATACGGCGCCTTGATCCGAAGGAACAACGACGTAGGGATCGAAAGGCCGGAGCTCTCCCAAACCTTGGAAAATTAGATGATGTGGCAGATTATCTCCTAGACCCATCAGCCGCCGGTTATACGTCTGCTAGTGAAACTGAGCTCGACACCGACGCTGAAGTTGAAGTAATGGAGGCCACAGCCAAAAAAGTCCTGAATAAGCGTGAATTACAACGAATGAAGGCGGGAGAAAGGAAGTCATCGACACAATCGGATCCAAGCGTCGAAAAGAGGGCGGTAAAACTAGTGGAATTGGGTCCGCGGATGAAATTGAAACTGACCAAAGTCGAAGAGGGATTGTGTGGCGGCAAAGTCTTATGGCATCATGTTCTCACCAAGACAGAGGCAGAGACTAAACAGTTGGATGAGGCCTGGGAGAAGAAACGCAGAGAGAAGGAACAGAGACGAAAAGAACAAAAGGAAAATGTTGAAAGGAAGCGGAAAGAAAGGGGCAAGGGCGCAAAGGATGCAGATAAAGATGGCGGGGTTGAGGGGGAGGATGAGGATATCGATGAGGATTGGGATAGCGAGGATTTCGATGATCTTGATGAAGAGATGGAAGACGCACCTGCCGATGATTAGAAGTCTATGTGTCTCGCTTTATGGGGCCTCTGCTGCCTATTTTAAATACGCCTTTTTGCTCTCTTTCTTTGCATTCACATTTTAGGACTTATAGGGGGAAATATTAGGAGTTCCAAGGGAGGTCTTCAATAAAGTTGCGGGCTTTTTACCCGAAATAGACAAAATAATGTTGCTCTGATTAATTTTCATGATCTTGATTGATTGACATATCTTAGTATTAACTCGATCCATTTTCCCTTCTGGTCTTGCACTTCAATTCAGGCACTGTTCAAATTTGTTCAATGCTGGGTATGGTGAAATTTCAATGTTACCTGATGCGACAGATTTACGCAAGTACACGAGTGGATATAACTTTTCATAGTATGGTCAAGATCATACCATCCTAAGATGTTGAAGCCCGTAGCTTTTCTTCCACCAGCCTCCCTACCATCTTCTCCAATATAGCAGAGTTGCTCCCACCTCCCTGTCCTTCAAAGTAGCATTGAACGCTCTTCTCAACGTACTTACCAACGATATCAATTTCAACATTAACATCCTCCCCCGGCTGCTTCTTAGCTGTCACAATCTTCTCTTGGGTATAAGCAATCAACATAATCTCAAACCATCCCTCTTCACCATCCACCACTTTGGTCACCGTTAAACTTGCGCCGTCCAATGTAACATATCCCTTCTCAACAATATATCTCAACACGCTCTTGTCCCGTGGCTGAAGGCGGAAGGTCAGCGCATTGCCATCTGGAGTGACAGATAGAATTTTTGCGATGGTGTCGACATGGCCTTGGACGAAGTGGCCGCCCATGCGTGTTGAGGCAGTGACAGAACGTTCAAGATTGACGCCAGAGCCCTTTGTGAGAGAGCCCAGATTCGTGCGGCGCAAGGTTTCAGGAGCGACGCCGACCATAAAGGAAGATTTGTCGAAGGCGGTTACGGTGAGGCATGTTCCTGTGAACTTTTAGGGAAGGCTCCACTGTAGCTATTTTTATGAAGCGGGGTCACTAAATGTGCAACATACCGTTGACGCATATGCTGTCGCCCAGATGGCAGTCCGTAAGTATTTCCTCGCAATTGGAAATGGTCAGAGACGTCCCCCCGCCTCCCCTAGCTGTCTCATCCTGAGCTTCTAGCGACGTGACCGCTGTTGGGGGAGTGTTAGCGGTGTGCAAGATGGCCGCAGCGGGGTGGCATCAAATAGCAGCTTACTTACAGCCGATCTTCTCAACCAAGCCGGTAAACATGGCAATATGCTTTAATTAATATCTTCACAAATGAATCAAGCCCCGTTTGGATTTTTGGCGTGCCGTAGTATCGCCTGGCAGGTCTCTGCTATTTATTTCGGCTGTTGTTGATTTTACCGGCAATACCGAGTCCGCTGCCAATTGCTGGGCTTAGCCTTTCACGGGACAATCGGTTCGGTTCGGCACCGAGTTTACTTGGGCCCCCCTACGCAGCATGCAATGTTGGTGCTCCGCTATACCGAAAGGACAAAGTAGTTTAGAAAAGCAGAAACCTTGCGCCATGAACTTCTACCAACTCAGGTTTTCTTGTGGGTTGATCTGCACGCTCCCTATACTTACACGATGAAGTCGTATCTGACTTTGAGAAGCATTGTGACGAGATCCAACCCTTTGCCCTCAAGGAGCCATACCTTGGCTACTGCCCCGGCTAAATGGCGGAGCTTCGCAACCACCGCGACGGCATCCACCCAGAATGCCGAAAACCTCCCACTTGCCGGAATCCGCGTTCTGGATATGTCAAGAGTTCTTGCGGGCGTAAGTCGATGTTTCCAGTTGTTTATGAGTTATCTGGAGATTTTCGGCGGGCTGACAGCTTCTCTGACGCTCTCGTTTGCTAGCCATACTGCACTCAAATTCTTGGGGATTTAGGGTACGTAACTACACCTCCGGAGCAAGAATCTGGCGGAGTAATTTCAGTTTGACATTCTCAGGACTGTCAATACATTATTGGCTGTAACGTGTTAACACATTACTATACATGTAGTGCGGAAATCATCAAGATTGAGCATCCAGTCCGCGGCGATGACACCAGGGCTTGGGGACCCCCTTTCGCCAAATATAAGGACGGCACCAAAGAGGGACCGGGAGAGAGCGCATATTATCTATCGGTATTGCTAAAAAAAAGCTCATAGCCACAGACTGTTTTGAACAAATGGAAACCAATATGTTCGGTCCGACTGACCCACCCGGCATATAGGTAAACCGCAACAAGAAATCTCTCGGACTATCCTTCGCCCATCCTTCCGGCGTCGAAATCCTCCATAAGCTTGTAAAAGAGTGTGACGTTCTGGTGGAGAACTATATCCCCGGATCACTGAAGAAATACAAAATGGACTACGATACTGTGAAAGCTATTAACCCGAAGTTGATATACGCAAGTATTACCGGGTATGGGCAGACTGGTCCCTATAGCCAACGGGCAGGATACGACGTCATGGTTGAGGCTGAGATGGGCTTGATGCATATCACTGGTTCTCGCGACGGACCTCCAGTGAAAGTTGGTGTCGCCGTTACGGATCTAACCACGGGACTTTATACATCTAATGCTATTATGGCAGCATTGCTGGGCCGAGCGAGAACTGGGAAAGGCCAACATATCGATGCGTGTTTGAGTGATTGTCAGGTCGCCACGTTATCGAATCTGGCAAGTTCTGCATTAATCAGCGGTGAAAAAGATTCTGGCCGATGGGGAACTGCTCATCGTAAGTACTATTTTATACTTCCCCCGCTTTGTTAACCACACATCCATACTGAGGCTGAGATTTACCCTTGTAGCTTCTATCGTACCGTATCGTGCATATAAAACGAAAGACGGTGATATTCTTCTTGGAGGCGGAAATGACAAGCTCTTTGGTGTGTTATGTGACAGACTAGGCCAGCCAGAATGGAAGGCAGACGAGCGTTTTGTCAGAAACAACCTTCGAGTTAAGAATAGAGATGTCTTGGATAAGATGATCGAAGACAGAACAAGGCAGAGGACTACTCAGGAGTGGCTTGAGATACTCGAAGGTAGCGGCATGCCATACTCCGCTATCAATGATATCCAGGGGACCCTTAACCATTCACATGGTATGTTTTCAGCACCTCGGCTTTTCTTTCCTTTACTTAATAAAATGAAAACTATTATGATATCCGGTCGCTAATTCTTGATATGAATAAACAGTGCTGGCCCGAGATATGGTTGTAGAGGTAGACCATCCAACCTGCGGACCTATGAAACTTGTCAACACGCCCATCAAGTATTCTGATGCCAAGCCTGGTGTTAGAACACCCCCCCCGACCCTGGGCCAGCATAGCGACGAGGTCCTTCGAGATCTCGTGGATCTTGGGGAGAACGAGATTGC